ATATTGGGGTTATATAGGGAGAATGGAAAAGAAAATGGAAGCTACTTTAGTACATTGCGGTTATAATGGAAAAGAGAATGGAGGCAACTATAGTACATCGGGGTTATATAGGGATAATGGAAGTCCTTCATGTTCGGGTTCTCCTCACCCTAACCCTACATAGTAGTTTGCATTATCCCAGTATAACCCCTATATAACTCTGATCTAACCCCAACATAACCCTATGTGCATGGGCCCATCAGAACAGCCTTGTGTGAAAGGCCCTTGAGCCCACGGCAGCACCGTTAATGCGAGCCAAGATCTGCATGGCGCCCTGATATGAGCTACCGTTGGGTCATTCCTCCTTTCAGTAATATAACACGGTGTAGGGTTTAGGGATTAAGCTGATTTTGCAAAGGGGTACGGTAAGGGGACACTCCTACTCGTAAGGAGGTTTGACTGCCACTCATACGGCGTCCCATGTAGACTGCGCTACGACCGCCGTGTAGGGTCGGAGCTGGCATAAGACCAGGGTCTCAAAGGATGTATCATAGGATCCAACAATGCGAGCCCCATCCTCTTGGCCCAATTCCGGCTAAGGTCACGAAAGTTAGTTCCTTGGAGCTTTGCGGTAGTTCTCGTTCACAAATCACTTGCCCTAAATCACCGCTCCTACAATTGGTTTTAGGCTCGACGCATCAATAAATCAGGGGTTGCGAGGGCCAGGGGCCCCAGCTGGTCCTTAAGGTTTGATATGGAGGTTTCCCAAAATTAGGGGTGCCCTCTGGGGGTCCCTTTGGGAAACTGCCATATTTCAATATCGAGCCCCCCCCCCCCCTGCTCCCCCCATACTGATTAAAAATCTGGAGCCCCTCCCCCACCAAAGGATCTTGCAGAGCGCTGTTCAGCTGTGCTTGCCAAACTCCCTTCAAAGGGGTTATATAGGGGATTGAAGAGGGGAGCATTATAGAGGTTATTCAGGGGGATGCTAGGGGTTTAGACTATGGCTCACAAATCATACTCGCATGATCTATTATTATCTTTACATTATTAGGCTCTTTGCTGAGCGTGCGTGCAGCAGACGCCCAAACTCCCTCCAGAAACTTGTGCATGCTTTCGCCGGACAGCCATATGAAGGTGGCTATAAGCTTTTTGTTGCGCATGTCAGCACGAGAACGACCCCTCAAAGTTGGTGACTGCCACTGACAGCTTAAAACTTCATAGCTGAGAAGACAAACTCTACTCCTTTCAGGTGTGCATAATCTCACTAGTGCCTTTCATACTACCAGGGTCCATTTGCCAAATCAGCATTTTTTCAAGATGTATCTTAACCTGTGGGTTTTCAGGCGGGACATCAACGAAAGTGGCAGGGTTGGTGCTCCGACGGATAGAACAGATGATATCTCAGGAACAACCTTCGAGGGTTTAGTGTTCGGTGTTCCAGGGCCTTGAATCACGGTTCACACGAATACTTTTCCTATGAACCCCACTGGTCGATAACATGATGAAGACCATTGGTGACGTAGCCCATCACCCTGCTCCGTCTAGCCCTCAGACAGTTCCTCTGGAAGCACAACATAGTAAGGTAGCCCTGTGCCGGCTAACCTGCATCCTAAACTTCAGACCTTTACCTAAACCGTCAGCCTCCACCATATTCTAACCTTTAAGAGAGATCACCGTAGGACCTTGCTTTGTCAGCTCCGGCCAGCCACTCGAAACTCAGTTCGCCGATGCATGTCGGCCAAGGTTGAAGCCACAGGTTTCTTGGGGGAAGTCTCCAGAAAAACGCCCAGCCAAGGGTGTAAAGGTTCCGTGCCGGAGGCTTGTTTTGGAGGGTTCCCCTTAGGATCCTACTAGGTTGAAGCAGGCTGATCTGTTCCGCTTGCACCGCGACAGAAAGGCTCGCAGCAACACTGGGCTTCCTCCTGTCCTCACAGGCGGCGTCCATCTGACGGTGGGCCAACCAAACCAACTTACCCTTTGTTGAGATGTTGCGGGTAAATGAAGGTCTTAGTCTTTCCCGTATCTGCCGCTGAACTGAGATCTCAGATAGTAGCAGGTTACGCTCTCGTTTGGATTGACTTCTGGTAGGGGTTCCGATCAGCCATCAGACGCTGAGGCAACGGCCGCCCAGTCCCCATGCCTGGGGTGAGGTGAAAGACAGGCATTCGGGTTTAGGGCTTAGGATGGTCTACAGCTTAGGATGGTTAAGGATTTAGTCTTAACTTCACTCGATTTGCATTACCCTCGGCCAGGTGAATTCAAGTGCTCAACCGCAGCACGTGATCGATCAAGCCCGTCAATGCCCGGGAAAGAGTGCGCACAAGGTGCGCTGATTCTGGGTTGCTTAGTCTTTGCTTGTAAGGGTTCCGTTTGGTTCTTTGTGACTTCGGATTCTCCTTTCCTCAATCGTTCTTCGAGTTGGTAGCGGAGCTCTGACGTAGTCAGGGCGATGAAGCTGCCACGTGTAATCGTAGCAGGGTTATGGGCTTCAGGTTCATGGCCCTCGCGTGCTGCGCTCTCTGGGACAGTGGATACAGCTGGATCGGGTTTAGAACTCATTCAGATGCTTTCGTTGTGGGAGCGCGGAGCGAAAACCGGACAGATGCCCAACCTCTGGGTGGCCGACGTTTACTGCAGGGCAAGGCCCTCATTTTGGACAGTCGATTCACTTGGTGGTTGGTCCTTGCAACGTTTACATGTGGAGCAGTTTCTTGGGTTCTCTTTATGTTTCCAGCCGCACAGGGCGGACAAGGCATACGCCTACCTCCACGCTGGGATCCATCGATGGAGCAGAGCCTTCCTTTTAGAACTTGGATGCAAGACCTTATGCTGTGGACTATTTGTACGGACATGGAGCCTCATCAACAATGTGCTGCCATAATCAGTCAACTTGGCGGCGCAGCCCGCGAGCTAGCCCGAAACATTACGCCTCAGGAAGTCTACAATGGGGGAATGATCAATGGTGTTCAGTTGGACCCAGTAAGCTTCTTACTGCACGGCCTGCAGATGCGCTTTGCACCGCTCGACGAGGAGACTCGCCTTCGAGCAACGCAGGACTTGCTTGCCTTTGCGCGTCGACCTGGAGAGTCGATCGACGCACTGATCTCACGCTTCGAACTGACACGCGCACGTGCGCGGAACGAAGGCGGAGGAACATTGGGTGTTGAGACCGCGTCGTTGCTTCTTCTCCGAGCTTGTGGAGTGAACACTCAGCAGTTTCAGGTTTTAACACAGCCTTTTGGACTCCGGCTTCCGACGACTGAAGCTGAATTGGCACAGATGTGCCATCATCTGCGACGCATGGGTCACATCGTTGAACGGCATCCGCAAAGCATTGCAACAGGTCTTCGTGGCCCTCAGAGTTCTCAGCAGGCTTTTGTAGCAGAGGCGGACACAGGCTCGTCCGCAGGTGGCGAAGCTACGTGGCATTCAGAAGCCCCTTCCTTTGGTATGGGTCAGTGGTCAGGCGGAGATCCATCCGACTGGGCCTTCGCAGCGGTTCAAACAGGCGATGGTGTCTCCGACACTGACTCGGCGACTTCATCGGACAATGATGCCCCAATGGACGTTGGGGACCTGCAGGGCATGTCGAATGCTCAGGCAGACGAGTATCTCTTTGGAGAGTACCAACATGCCAAACGCCGTTGGCGACGCTTTACAGGGAAACCCGTGCGAGCACTTCGCAAGGTAGTAAAGCGTAAGGGCAAGGGTAAGGGTAAGAGCCGAAATAGCTACCTTAACCTTTCAGATGTCCTGCAGCAGTCCGCCTACTTTAAAGGTAAGGGAAAAGGGGGACGCGCTTCAGGGAAAGGTTTTGGCCGTAGGACTAATCCTTGTGGCAGGGATGGCGAACCTTTGAAGTGCCGCACTTGTGGATCTGCGTACCATCTCAGGGCACGCTGTCCGCGTCGGCCTGATGCAAGCAGTCAGCCGTCACAGCCTGCCAGCACAGGTTCAAGCATGCCCCCAGGTTCAAGGTCAGGTCCCTCCTTTGCTGTCGAGGCCACCGCAGGTATGCGCTTTGCCGCCTTTGATTCCGATGAATCCTGGTCCCGTGTGCAAACTCCCCGCAGTAGCACTTCCTCATTTCAGCATGTGCAGCGGCCGTCCCGTGCCATGTCAAGTCAGCAAGCACAGCCTGAGCCTGTTCCACAGCCCAATCTTGAAGCACCGCAGGCGGCCTCCAGCACTACACATCATCAGATGACTCCAGACCCATGGATGACTGAGCCCGATCCATGGATGGAGTGGACGCACAATGAGCAAGCTGCAAGCGCTTCCGCTTCGCAGGCCGCAGGCGCAGCACAGCCGGAGCTCTCAGGCACAGCCAGGTCACAGTACTCAGGTGTATCATATCAGGTGCCAAGTGCCTTTGCTTCCTCAGCAGCCGCCTTAGGTACTCAGGTTCCAGGTTATGCCGGCCCGCAAGGTCAGATGCCAAGTTCCTCGGTGGGGATTGATGTTTATAATGCTAATAGCTGGTCCCTCCCAGGGTTCGGTTAAGGAAATAGCACAGGAGCTCAATCCTTCACCGAGGTTCAAGGTCTTTCAGGTGCACCGCCTCCACTGCCGCAAAGCTTCAGCAACCTCCAAGCCGATGTGTCAAGGCAGCAGATGGCCAACCAACTGCACACAGCAGCAAGCCACAGCACCTCAGTGCAGCCCCAACAGCATGGCTCAGGAGATCGCACGTCTCCATTCGCAGCGCTTCTTGGCTTCACGGGAAGCAGGCAACCACACCTCAGGTTCCGATGCATGCAAGGGAGGTTCCAGGCACAGAGACACAGCTGCCCACGTCCGTGTCAGTCTTCTCTCAGGTGCGTGCCCTACGCAGCACAGCCAGCTCAAGCCGCCGCAACAGCCGCTCCATCCTCGAGGAGCCTTGCGAGTCAAGCGTTACAGCACCTCAAGCGCCTCGAGCCTTCCAAGGTCATGTCCCTTCATGTGTGGTTTGCCTTGGGGAGTTCAGCCCAGGTGATCATGTGTGCCGACTGTCATGTGGCCATGTGTTTCATTGTATGTGCGTGGGTGAGCTTGCTGTTCAGACAGGGGCCGTGTTCGAAGAGAGTGGAACCATGATGATTGACTGCCCGTGTTGCCGCCAGCAGTCTCATGTGTCGCGAGCCTGGCATTATCCCAGCTTTCCCGCTGACACTGCCGCTTCCGCGTCTGCAGAGCAAGGTTCAGGCGAGGAGCCACAAGGTCAGGTGCTGCAGGCAGAAGGTTCAGGCAGCCCAGCACAAGGTCAGGCGCCCCAGGCAGTAGGATCAGGCAGCCAAGCACAAGGTCAGGTGTCCCAGGCAGAAGGTTCAGAAGGCCAAGGTCAAGGCCACGTCACCCCTGACAACAGCCCGCAGAATGAGGGATTCCACACGCCAGAGGCCGCATTCCCGTGGTGGCCCGTGACATCGCATGAGCTGTCATCCTCACAAGCCTCATCCCAAGCCTATCACTCCAGTGCGCGCCTGTCAGACGGCAGAACCGGGCTGTTAGTGGATCCGGGGTCTTACGGAAATTTGGTAGGAGAGGAATGGCTAGCGTCAGCAGCAGCACAAATGCAAAAGGTTCCTCGCATCACTTCACGTGAGGCCCCACTCCAGGTCGGAGGTGTAGGCAAGGGCGCGCAACAGTGTCGGGTGGACTGTCAGTTACTTATCATGCTCACCCGCCATGACGGCACCACAGCAGCTGGCTCTTTCACTTCGCCAGTTGTCAGCCAGTCAGGGTGTCCAGCTTTGCTTGGTCTTCGTTCCCTCCAGGAGAATCGTGCAATCTTGGACTGCCACAAGCGCCTGCTTCATTTCCCCGCTGAAGGCGAGATCACCATGGTCATGCCGCCAGGGTCAGAGACGTATCAGCTCGAAGCAGCTGAAAGCGGCCATCTGTTACTTCCCTGCGACGCCTTCAGCAAGTCCTCGCATCAGCAGCCATTGGGCGAGCACCATCTGTTCACGAACGATGAGCCAAAGCCAGGAGCAGATACAGCCGTATTGCCTTGCATGTTGTCTGCCTTGCCGGCCCAAAGTGTGAGCGATCAGGAGTCCTTGTGCGCAGCAGTTGCAGCCGAGTACGCGCATGAAGCCTGTGCAGCCTTACTGCTGCGTTTCTCCAAGGAATGGGTGCAAGCTGGAGCAACCGCCCGAGAGCGGTTTCATGACCATGAGGGCATGAGCAAGTGTTTTGGCATGTACACCCATGGGGGAATAGTTGCCATCAGCTCTGGCACTAAGCAGCGGCCTGAGCTCTCAAAGCTCCTGTGCAAGGCCATTCAAACATCCACCGATGCAGCATTCACGTCCATTATGCTTTGCATCAACACCCCAGCTCCAGTGCACAGGGACGCCTACAACCAAGCAAGCAACGTGTTGTTGCCCATGGTCCTGCCAAAGCGAGGAGGGAACCTCTGGATCGAATTGCGTAAGGGTGACGTGATTGAGGGCGAGATAGAGACGCGGCCCGTGAACACAAAACAATGCCCTGGCCAGATTATTCCTCTCAGTGTGGGATCCGCAGTTGGCTTCGACCCAAAGCGGTATCACGCAACACAGCCGTGGGCCTGCGGTGACAGGATTGTCTTGGCCGCCTATGTCACCGGAAGCTCTTGGAAAGCTTCAGCTGAGGCTGTGTCTGAACTACAAGGTTTAGGTTTCCGCGTGCCCTCTCCAGGGAATTCTGTGCAGGCACATATCGCAGGTGCAGCGCCTGAGGACAGTCAGGTCAGCCCAGCCTCTGAGCACGCAGCAGCCCAAGCGCAACAGTTAGCCGATCAGGCAATGCAGGTCACAGGTGAGCCCAGGTCACAGGTGCAGCCTAGCCCATCAAGGTCAAGGTCAGGCCCAGGGGTGCAGGTGCCAGATCCGAAAGCCTATGCAGCGCCACGGACAAGTGGTCTCAGCATCATTGGTCGCATCCTTTTAATTTCCATTTTTCAATCAACTTACTTTGCCTTTCAGGAATGTGGCCTTGAGCCGACCAGGCTGCGCCCCAACGAGCTTCTCCGAGCTGGGTTCGATGAGGTGATAGGCCAAATTAAGAACTCATCTTATGCTGCCGTGTGGGTAGACTTAGATGATCAACGTAAGTGCCCGAAGCGGTCACAGATTTTCTCTCGCCTTGGTGTTGTGGCCGGTTGGGCCCAACGTCAGTCCATTCCTTTTGTGATGGCCTCCAGTCGCAATGCCGTGTGGAGCCAACCTGAAGTGCAGGAGCTCGTGTATCGTTACAAGCTTCGTGAAAGCCGCCATCGCTGGTGCAGGTTCGGGGTGAAGGTGTCATCTGAGGTGCAGGCCTCAGCAGCGAGTCACAAGGTGATGAGCTCTGTCCCTATGCCTTCACATGCCTGTGCCTGCCCCCTCCAGTGTCGAGCACCTCTTTGATCTTGACATGCACAAAGGTCAACCCGGCACCGCAAAACTCCGAGCAGATGCTGAGCGATGTGTCGCTAAGCATATCATTACCGCCCTGATGTCAGCCTCAACGGTTGATGCTGTGTCAGGGCCTTCATCGACAACCGACTCGATGACAATCACATCTTCAGCGCAAAGCGCCTCCAGTGCTCAACAACTACCGAGCACACCGTTTCGGCCAGCAAGCTCAGCCGAGCAGCAGGCCCCCGTTAACGATGATCAATGTGTACAGGAGCCTCTCCATCCAGATGAGGCCGATGCATGTTTTCCAACGGATCAAAAGTTGCAGCAGCGTGAGCGAGCAAAGGCGAGGCAAGCACAAGGTTTGGAGCCCCAACCATCGCAGAAACGCAAGAAGGTGGTTGAGCAGCACTTTGACGATTGCGGTGAGGACCTGAGCAGCCTCACCGGCACCACCTCAAGTAACCTGCTTGTGGAGTCTCTCCTAACATCTGACGATGAGCCTATGTCTGAGAGTGACTTCAGTGCCTCAGCCGTCGCCAACGCCTATGCACAGTGGGCCCTTCCTAGCATGCTTGCTGAGGGCCAGCCAAGGCTGCACAAGAATTCAATGTTAGCCGTTGATATTGAGGAGATGTTTGCAATTTTGAATGAACCTGGCCATAGAGGATATGGAGTCGAAATCGTGGAAATCTGTGGCGGCAACGCCCTCACTTCCTACTTGTGTGTGCGCCGCAAGCTGCACAGCGGTCACTGCTTTGAGCTTATCACCGGCACCGACCTAACTGATCCCGAGGTCGAGAGCAAGGTTCTTGCATACTTGATGTAGCCAAGCCCCTTGTCATAGTCATGTCTCCCATCTGCACGCCCTTCGGCCCGCTGGGTCAACGCAATTACATTCTCCATCATGATGCATGGAGCAAGTCGTTTGCCACAGCAGGTCCTCTTGCAAGCTTCTGTGGTAAGCTAGCCATGCGCCAAAGCAAGCTTGGCCTTTTCTATGTCAATGAGCAACCGTTCCCTTCGTCGATGTACGAAGTCGAGCCGTGGCCGCAAGTGAGAAATCTGCCAGACTGCCACCGCATTGTCCTGCACCAGTGTTGCCTCGGCCTAAAAGTGAACGGCCTCCCGTGTAAGAAACCCACTGAACTCACCAGCAACTCCAAGGCAATTCTGCAGCAGTTCAGTGGCCTACGGTGCAACGGATCACATGAGCACGCCAGCTTGTTGGGTGGCAATGCCCATGCAGCCAGGATATGGCCTCACATGATGTGCTCGCGTCTGGCTCGTGGCATCGAGCTGCAAGCCAAACTCTTCCAGCAAGCTGTGAGACATGCAGAGAGGCCACCAGCTCAGAGATCCGTGTTTCCAACAGGCGCAAGCGGGACTGATGATGCAAGTCAAGCTTCATCAGAGACAGGGTCAGAGAGCTGGAGAAAGTGCAAGGGATGTCTTTGGCGTCTTCACCGTGCAGATAGCCTACACAATCGCAAGCCTGGCGTGTGTAAGTACCCAAACGACGAGGCGATGGACTTTGCATGCCCAGGTTGCCGAGCCAGAAAGAATCGCTCCTCAGAGGATCACACTTTTGGACCCGACTGTCGCCATGCGTACACAAAGCCTCGTGAGAAGGCAGTGCAACGTAGGCCCTTCGGCAGAAAGCCAGCTTCTTCAGAGCCAACAGCCGGTCTCAAGGCTGATCAGTTAGGCCAACCAGCAGAGCAGGAAGCTGAGCGAAAGCAAGCCCCCATAGCATCCGGCAGTGGGGATGTCGATCCCAATCCAGAGGAGGATGAGGATCTGTTGCCTGAAGGAGATGTCTCGGAAGCAGAGCCATCAGCAGGGCGTGGTCCTGATATAGCTCCTCGGACCCGCCGATCCTTTCGGGAAGGTGCCGCACAGACGCCCAGCAATGCCGACTGGTCGTCATTTGACATTCAAGCTACACTGCGAGGCCTCAGGCGCGGCACTGAGGCCGACCATCGCCGCCTCCTGCGCAAATTGCATTTGCGCCTCTGGCACTGCAGCAGCCACCGCCTTCAGGCGTTGCTCAACTCCGTCGGTCTTCCAAAGACCGTTCGGGACCTTGTTCCTGAAATCACCGACACCTGCAGAGTCTGCCGCCATTGGGCGAGGCCTTCGCCCGATGCAAAGCCCACCAGTAGGATGGTTATAGGGTTTAACATAGAGATAGAAGGGGACCTAATGTTTATCCGCCACAAGGGAACTCAGCACATCCTTCTTGTCCTTGTATGCCGCGGAGTCCGCTGGACCTGTGCCACATGTATCACTGACAAGCGCACAGGCACACTCCTCACCGCCATCGACAATCATTGGGTAGCTGTGTTTGGGCCTCCCCAAATTCTCTTGTTTGATGGTGAGACGGGTCTGGACGACGAAGAATCCACGACATACTTTCAGCTTCGGGGAATAACCAAGCGCACAGCGGCGCCACGCCAGCACACCCGGATAGTGGATCGCAAGATCGCAGTGCTGCGCGACACGCTGCATAAGCTTGGTTCCCAGTTGGATGAGGAAGGTCTGGATGTGCCTTTCAGCCGAATGCTCAGTGATGCAGTGTATGCATTGAACTCGCTAACCTCCATCAATGGCTGTAGCCCCTACACGGCAGTCCTGGGACGAATGCCCGCATTGCTTCCAGCAGACGACTGCCATGTCAGACGGGGTCCCCGATGTGTGTTCAAGACACACCTATCGGCTCAGGGAAATCGCAGTCCAGGCGATTGCGGAAGGTACAGCCCGCGAAAGGCTCAAGCGGGCCATGAATTCTCAGACTCGGCCTTCCGGTGAGGAGCTTGAATACCAGCTCGGTCAGCAGGTTGACTGGTACCGTGAGCCGGTGAGCAAAGACGCTTCCGGTTGGAGGGGCCCAGGAACTGTCGTAGACCTGTCGCGTATTGAGCATGGCAGGGTTGGGGTTCGCACCAGCAGACCAGATCCTAACTGTGAGGTTGCAAGACCTGCGTCATAGCCTCACCTTCTTGTCTGAGGACCTCTCTGGGTTCTTCTACCAGGATGACCCTGTGGCCACGGCAGGAACATCATCCCATCATGCACAGCAGCTCGTGCAGGACCACGTTGATTCTTTAAAGCCAGGCACTGTGCTCACCCTCGACCAAGTCTGCGCCAGTACAGGCTTATGGGTTGAGACCCCTCAAACCGATACTCACCGACAGCTGTTACAAGCCTGTGCTTACGTAGCCGAGACTGTCTTTAAGATTCCGACAGTAGCAGCAGTGCGCCTTGCCAAGTCTGTCCGAGCGTTGACCCAACGGAGTGAGTTTGTAGGATCGCTCTGTCTGTACTGGAACGCATCAGGTTCCCGCCAAATCAACTTCCTGCACAGCAGTGACACCAAAGTGTCAGTGGTGAGCTTAGTGGGCCAGCAGTGGACTGAAGTCCGGCTCATCCAGCTACTCATGGTCCCGGATGAATCGGACTGGATTTCAAGTCAAAAGTGGGTCATTCCCTCACCCGTGACATCGGGTGAAGCCGGCCAGTTAGAGCCGCAGCCTGACGATGCCAGTTCTTCAGCTCAGGACAGGTTGACCACCATACCTGAGGAATCCCTGAGTGGATCCGAAACTGCGCTGTCATCCTGGGATGAACTCAAGTCAATGTTTGGCAGCAGTGTGGATGCAGAGGATGCTACATGTCTAGCCGAAGCTTTCACTGCCATAAGCACCGAGGCCGCCCCTGAACGTCCGGCATTGTCTTCCCTGCAAGAGGCAAAAGATCATGCGGCGAGCCTGCTGCCTGATCATGCTGAGATCCCAAACTGGTCTCAAGCCGAGAGTGAGGAAGCCCTTTCGTTTCTCACTCAGGAGCAGTTGTTCCAGAGCCTGTCGCTGTGCAACAGGGAGCCTGAGGACTACACTGTTCTCGACGCGGACGAAACTGGAGCATACGTTGCCCTTGAAGCCTCAGGAGATGTTGCCAAGCTGATTTCTGATTTGGACCGGTTGCCTAACGCGGACGAGGTAGTCGAGATCAGATTTTATGAGGCACATACGCGCAAGGCTGTAATAGACCGCAGCGATGACCTCCTTACCAAGGAGGAGCTCATTGAGCACGGGGACGCCGTTCTCCAAAGCATACTCAATGAACTCAAGACCTGGCAAGGATTCAATTGTTTCTGCCGGCGTTCGCGTGCAGCAGCACCCTGTGTCATCGACACGAAATGGGTACACAAGTGGAAGCTGGTCAAAGGGGTACGGTGCATCCGCGCACGCCTCTGCCTCCGTGGCTTTAAAGAAACAGGCGCCGATTACGAGTCAAACTACTCGGCCACTGCGAGTAGATTCAGTCAGCATCTTCTTGTGTCGGAATGTGCACTCCGTGGGTGGTCGCTCGCATCGTCAGACGTACCCAAAGCATTCCTCCAGGGCGTAAGTTACGAAGAACTTGCGCAGAGCACCGGCCAGCCGTTGAGAGACGTGAGTTTCGAGCTCCGGGGGGAAGCTTTGGCGTGCTTGCGATTACTTCCTGGTTTTGGAGATTTCAATGCTAAGCACGAGGTGCTCCATTGCTTGAAACCAGGCACAGGGTGCAGGGATGCCCCTAAGTGCTTCAGTCTGAAGTTGCGAAAGGCCACTTCGGCGTTCGGTCTGCAGCAGTCAAGCGTTGACTCTGAGTTGGAGCTCCTGTACCGCGCAGGCGTACTGGTAATGATCGTCTTAAAGCACGTAGACGACCTAAAAATGGCCGCGAAGAAAGCGCTGATCCAGGAGTTTGTGGATCACTTGTCCAAGACTTTTGGCAAGATGGATATTGAATGGGGTACCTTCACCTTCTGCGGCGTACGTCACGAGCAGCACTCTGATGGGAGTATCTCTCTTGATCAAGTGAAATTTCTTGCAGCTTGCAAGCCGATCGCTCAGCCTAAGGCATTGGCCGGAGGTGCTGAGGCCCTCTTGCCAGAGGACGCTCGCCGGCACTTCCTGTCCTTGCTGATGACGATCGCGTACGCTCTGTTGACAAGGCCAGATGTGGCAGTGTTCATATCTGCCCTTCAGCGAGAATCCCACCGAGCGCAAGTCATCCATGTGCGTCGTTTGAACAAGGTGTTGGAGTGGCTACAGGCTAATCCCAGGAAAATCACCTACCCCGTCATGAAATATCCCACAGCTCTGCTTCAGATATCAGACTCTTCCTACAAGGCTCGTGCAGAGGATGGTCTCTCAGTTCGAGGCCTGGTCAGCGTAAGAGTGTCGCTTGAAGACGTTCAGGCGGGCAAGCAGCAGACACCTTGCCACTTACTGGACTTTGCGAGCAAGCAGCAGAGGCACGTTACAAGGTCTACCTTCTCATCGGAGCTTTTCGCAGCCACTGATGCGACGGACATTGGACTACTCCAAGTTCTCGCTCTCCATGAGCTACAGCATGGGGTGTTGTCAGCTGATGACGCCAAGAAAATCATGGATGGGGACCTACAGTGCGGAACCGCATTGGGGTTAGTCGTGGACGCGCGATCAGTAACGGCGGCAATCATTGCAGTGCATACGAAGGTCCCGGCTGAGCCATCATTGTTACTTCATGTCCGATGGGTACGCCAGTTGTTGGAGCGGAAGCGTCTTTCTGCGCTGTTCTGGTCGGACACAAGGAGCATGGTTAGTGATGCTCTCACAAAGGGCACAGTCAGTCGCGAGCTGATAACATCGGTGATGGCAGGACTGTTGGTGATGCCCCAGGCATACGTTCAGCAGATGCTATCTTGACCCTGCAACTCCACGTGCGAGTGCAACCGCACGCTACATGCAGCTTCATCGACAACCGACTCGATTTGCATTACCCTCGGCCAGGTGAATTCAAGTGCTCAACCGCAGCACGTGATCGATCAAACCCGTCAATGCCCGGGAAAGAGTGCGCACAAGGTGCGCTGATTCTGGGTTGCTTAGTGTTTGCTTGTAAGGGTTCCGTTTGGTTCTTTGTGACTTCGGATTCTCCTTTCCTCAATCGTTCTTCGAGTACTTCTGGAGAAAAGCTGGGTTCTTAAATGTGGAACCCATGCAGCATGTCCCAGGTCGGCATTGCATGAGTTCCCAAACGAACTATCAGGTTCCTCTGCCACAACACTGGCCCCGTAAAGATTTTCAACAGTCGAACAAGACCAATTGGTCTACAGCGCCTAGCTAACTGGGATCCCAAGACCTTAAACTCCAACAACTAACAACCCTAAATCCTAAACCCCAAATAAACCCTAAAGCCTAAAAATCCCTAAGCCCTAAACTCTAAAACCCTAAACCCTAAACCCTAAACCCTAAACCCTAAACTCTCCTAAGCCCCAGACCATACCCACCGCAGCCCTCGGCTCAAAAGCCATAGCGTGGGCCTTGTCGTGGGTGGCCCCGCAGAACGCGTTTGAACCAGGCTGGGGTCTCCTGCTAATGGTCTGGGCTTAGAGTTTAGGGTTTGGGCTTTCCGAATCGATCCGAATCGATCCTGTTAACCATAGGGTTTATGATTTGCGGAATAGGTTACCACCTTCGGCAAGGCTCCCGCTGAATTAGGCTTAATTATTTGGCGTTAGGGGGGGGGGGTAGTAATACGGGGTGGTTAGGAGAACTCTGAATCCTGGGGTTCATTTTGGCATATTTTGGGAGTATAGTCTGTTGGTATGTTGGGGTATATAACGAGGACCTGTCTTCATGGACATATGGGTTGCTGGTATCCTTAGATTCTGGGGTACTGTTGTCATGCTTGACTAGTCCTTCCATCGTGGTGCTTTGCACTATAACAGCGGACCGCCACCTTGAAACCCTGAACGGTAAACTCTTAACCCTGTTGTGGGTCTGGTTGAGGGTCCCACTTCGCCTGCATTGGTCACCAGTTGCACATGTTGGCAAGCCTCCGAAGCGGACGCGTTCAGACAGCTTCAGCCAAATATGGTAGTTTCCCAAAATAAGGGGACCCAATGTAGACCCCAATATATTATAATCCTTATTATGGGGACCCCCAAAATGATACCCCTAATTTTGGGAAGCCCCCATATACGTCCATGTGCAGATGTTCTGTGTCTCAACTCCGGCTTGGAACCTTTCTGACCTGCGTGACCAAGGCAAGATGGCGGCCTCGTGGCAAGGTCAAATGCCTCAGTTCCAAGTATGAGATTCATGCGTGCAAGAGTTTGTGTGCACCAGTATTTTCCTGCGGGCTTCTTGGGGCTCAGGAGCTTGCCCTGCACAAGCGCCATGGACTGATTGCGCCTGGATCCATGCAGGCTTCTGAGGATGTGCGAAAGAAGCTCTTATACCATGCGTTGCGACCGAGTCTTGAAGCTGACGAAGTGACGGCCGATGCGCGGGAGCAATACTTGAACTGTGGTGGGACGGATCTTTCTCTTGCAGCGCTTCGCGGCGACCAGGAGCTTGTCGAGGTGCTGCTTGCATCTGGTGCCAAGGACGTGCCAAACTTGTTGGGTGTGACCGCTGTCTACGAGGCCTCCATGCGAGGTTTCGCGGAGATCGTGCGGCTACTGGCTGTCAGCCGAGCCGACCTGAACGCTCGCTGCTCGGACGGCTCGACGGCTCTCATCCAGGCTGCCTACGTTGCCAGCCAGGACGAACAGCAGCGAGCCACTTGTGCCGTGGTGGTGTCAGTTCTCCGCGAGCTTGGTGCAGACCTCACACTGAGGGACATCTGGGGAAAGACTGCCGCGGACTACTGCCGGAGGGTGCCAGAACTGGAGGCCGCCATCGGATCAGAGGTTTTCGTCACATGTCCGTACGATGACTGCAAGCGAGTGTATCGAGTCAGGCGAGTTGACTACCGTTGCCGGATCGTGAGGTGCGGCTGCGCGCTTTACCAGGGGCGAGAGTACCAGCTGCCTCCGCACGGGAGCCGTGCAGATGTGCGGAGCTGGTTGCAGGACAGTTGGGGCTGGCCTGATTGGCCTGGACAGGTCCTGGGATGTGGCCGTCCATTTCGATTTCCGGATGAGAGTGGCCTGGGTTTGTTCCTCACATGGTCTGAGGAGGTCACAGGCAGTGCGCACCCGAACACTGTGGATGTTGAGGGTGACTATTCTATCGCCTCCAGGGACCTCTAACGTTCAATGAATTCTCTTCCGTTTGCCGTACTCTGTCAAAACCTGGCGTAAGGGAAGGACGCTGCTGACAGCCTGCATAGGGAGGTCAAGTGCATGTCCGATTGTCGGTCATGTGCGAGGACGAACCTCTGGGCCAGCAAGATGTCGAAGGCACCAGCGGTCACCAGCACTGCTCTGCTACCTGCGCTCTTTCATGAAAACAGGCATGTGTAACACAGATTCTTGGTGTTGTGTTTTGTAGCCTCAGCTTCAGCCCAATTAGCACGGCTCAGCGGGCTTTGATCTCCCAATGTAGGAGGAGCGCTGAAATTCTGCGACGCTGAAGTTGCAAGCGCAAGGGGGGTTCTGCCCTTGTGGTTCTTTTGTTCCAGGCTGAGCCTGGCCTGCTGTCATGAATCAGGTAGCTGCAGCCTCGTGACCTCCAGCGCCCAGGGCATCCTGAAACCTCAAGACTCAAGCATTGCAAAGCGCATGAAAGCCCCAGGGTTGGTTCGAAGACTTCCCAAATTTTCCAGCAGTGTGGGACTTTTGTGAGGTTCAGCTGAGAGTCGTCCATATGAGCTTAAGTCTAACCTATGAGCTTAAGTCTAACCTCCTCAAAGGGGGGTTATAAAGGGGGGTTATAGTTGAAGGGATTATACAGGGGAGCATTATATGCGTCTGCGCTCCGCGTTCCCACCACCCCCCCCCCCATGGTATCCCCCCCCCACCCGGCCCCCCTGATGCTTCAACAGTGTCAACAGTCACAGGGATGGGGCCCCTCGGGGTCGCCATCCTCGTAACTGTCATCGTTTTTGACGTCTGAAAGCTGCCTTCCTCGTAACTG